TTGAATTATGCCACGCATGATTTGGAGTTAGCAGCCGTAGTACATGCATTAAAGACTTGGAGACATTTTCTCATTGGAACCCATTGTGAAGTGTACACGGATCACAAGAGCTTGAAGTATATTTTACGCAGAACGAGTTGAATCTCAGGCAAAGGAGATGGTTGGAGCTCATCAAGGATTATGATATGAGATTGCATTATCATCCCGGGAAGGCTAACGTAATAGCTGACACATTGAGCCGTAAAAGCCATGTCAACACACTAATGTCGAGAGAATTACCAAAGGAGTTAGCCGAGGACCTTCGTGAGCTATGTTTGGAGATAGTTCTGAGAGGCTATGTAGCAGCATTGGAGATTCAGTCTACTTTGATGGATAAGATCAGAGAAGTTCAGAGGACTGACAAGGAGATTGCTTCTATTAAAGAGAAAATGAGCAAAGGAAAAACTAAAGGATTTCGTGAGGATAAGCACGATACCTTATGGTTTAAAGACCGTGTTTATGTGCCCAATGACCGGAGATCAGGAAGTTGATTCTGCAAGAGGCCCATGACTCACCATATTCGATTCATCCAGCTATAAGAGAGAAATCTCCCCAACCACCCAGCTATATTCTTGATAATCCTGTCTATAATGGGTTGCAAGTCTTCTTTTCTAAGTTTTTTAAAGTGCAGAGGCACACCTAAGTACTTAAAGGGGAAATCCCCCAGCTGACAGCAAAACACCTGAGCAAATTCCTTAGCCATTTGATCAGGTACATTGATAGTATGTAGGTCACTTTTGTGAAAGTTAATTTTCAAACCAGAAGGTTTCTCAAAGCAAGTTAATATCCACTTCAGGTTCTTGGCACACTCTACAGAATTGTCAAGGAACGGGATAGTGTCGTCAGCATATTGCAGGCTGACCACTCCCCCAGGAATTGCATTAGGCAGAAGCCCACATATCAAGTTATTATTAACAGCTTTCTGCAGCATTTTAGAAAAAACATCAGCCACCAAATTAAACAGCAGGGGTGAATGGGGTCGCCTTGTTTTAAACCTTTACCACCAGCAAATTGAGGGCCATTGGTGTCATTAATTCTGACATGGAATGTCCCCTGGTGAATAGTAGACATCACCCACCCCACCCATTTACTGCCAAAGCCTCTAGAAAGAAGCATTTCCTTCAGAAAATCCCAACTTACTCTATCATAGGCTTTCTCATAGTCTAGCTTAAGGATTAAACCACTGGAACCAGACCTATGAATCTCATGAATGACCTCATGAGCCATAACCACACTTTCCAAAATGAACCTACCTTTAATAAAGGCAGTTTGGTTAGATGAAATAAGTTTGTCACACAAAGGGGAGACCCTAGTGGTCATGGCCTTGGAGAAAATTTTAACAGCACAATTGCTTAAACTAATAGGTCTAAAGTTTTTCATATCTCTAGCCATAGGAACTTTAGGAATGAGGGTAATGATGGCATAGTTCAGCTTATACATATCTAGAACACCAATCTCAAAATCTCTAACCATCCACATAAAATCCTCTTTAATTAAATCCCAGAAAGTTTGGTAGAATAAAAAAGAAAGGCCATCAGGGCCAGGAGCACCACTGGCAAAAGAACTCATTATAGCTTGTTTGATTTCATCTTCAGAAAAAGATCTCTCTAGGGTAGGGATGGCAATGGGTCGGGTTTGGGGCGGGTGGAGTTGGTCCAAATCCAACCCATGACCCATCTTCCTACCCTCAGCCCATCCACCAAATTATCCATGGGCACAACTTGTGCCCATGCCCAAACCCGCTGGATACCCACATACCCATGCAGCTCCATGGGCATAAAAAAGTCAGCGTGAAGCCTTTCCAAAGATCAAATTAACTCATCATCATTCACTCACAAATGATAACATAAGCTACATGCATAATTAGGCGACAAGTAATACGATGAGTCCTTAAGTGTGACATACTAGAGGTTGATTCTACAGCATATGGCTCATGGCACAAGTTGCATATTTCTTGCCATTTCCCTTTGATTTGCTCTTTCTACTGTCACGGCATATGGCCCCACATGTCATACAAGTATCCATTGGATATCCATGGAGCACAAACTATAACCATGCCCAACCCGGCTGTTCGTGGGTATCCATATCCACGGACCCATGGGCAGAAATGTGCTCCATACCCTTGCCCAACCGGGTCGGGTATCTAGATCCATGGATAAAATTGCCATCCCTACTCTAGGGCTTCTCTTTCCTCATCATAAACCATTTCATCCACCTCCCAGAAATCAGCATCTAAATGAATGTCAGGTCTAGGTTCAAAAGCAAACAGCTCCTTATAAAAGGAAGTAGCCACATCAAGCATATCTTTGGTGGAAGTAACCACCCCCCCTAGGCTGTTCAGTTCAGTAATATGGTTCTTTCTATGTCCATGGTTAGCAAGAGCCTGAAAATAGGCATTGTTCCTATCCCCCTCTAAGATTTTCCCGTCCCTCGATCTCTGCCATAAGGCAGTCTCTTCTTTTTTCCAAATATCATCAAGCTCCTATTTGACATTTTTCATCCTCTCAGAATCATCCGCAGAAAGCTGTTGAGATTCAAAGAGGACATCAAGGGCATCAAACTCCATAAGGAGTGCCTTTTTCTTTTTTTTTTCAAAGCAGCTTCTCTGTTAATGTTCCAACCCTTGATTTTTTCCTAAGCACTTTAGCTTTAATCATCCAATTGTCAGCAGAAGACTTAGAGGAGGCCACAGAATTCCAAGCTTTTGTAACCACCTGGTGGAACCCAGGTTGGGCTAACCACCATTTCTCAAACCTGAATGGTTTTGGGGTTAGTTGGAGCCCTAGCACCAGTATCAAGTACTAAAGGTGTGTGATCACTCCCAACCCCGGGAAGAGCAGTCAAGGTAGAAAAGGGAAAATGAGCATCCCAGTCCACAGAAGTGAACACTCTATCAAGGACAGCAAAAATTGGAGAGCTCTGATTATTAGACCAGGTGAAGACTCTATTAGAAATAGAAATTTCCATCAGGGCCCATCTATTGACCCAATCATTAAAGAGGAAGGTAGTTTGTTGATTAACATGCCCACTGCTTTTCTCAGTTTCATTCCTAACTAAATTGAAATCCCCACACATCATAATAGGATAAGAAGCAACATTCAAAGTATCATGCAACTCAGCTATAAAATCCATCTTAAATTCTAAGTAAGCAGAACCATAAACCAACACCATCTGCCAAATAAATCCATCAGTCTTATTTTTGATAGTAGCTACAATAGAAAATCTTTGGTTAATAAAACCAATAATCTCAAAAACATTTTCTTTAAAGCCCAAAAGGATCCCACCAGCAGTATTATCAGCAGGTAAAAAGTGCCAAGCATAGTCATTAAATTTGTCAATAGTTTTGAAGAAACCCTCAGCAATAACTTCTCTTTTAGTTTCTTGGAACCCAATAAAGTCAGGGTTAGTTTTGGCAATAGTATCACATAGGCACTGAATTTTCCCAGGTTGTCCAAGGCCCCTAATATTCCAAATTAGACCTATCATAACTAAGAAATTTTAGAAGGGTGAGATAAGCCACAAGTCTTGGCCTTAGTCAGTACGGTGGGTGTTCTTCTGCAAGCATTAGCAGTGCCCACTGGCTTACAGAAAGAAGCACTCACAGGTGTGCTAACTAAATCATTAACCTCAAGATCAAGATTCTCAGGGAGAACATTTCCGTAAGGGTCTGTCTAGGACACATATAGATGTGACATAGTTATGCCACATCTAAACTGATTTTCACTCTGTTTGTGGTCTATTTTTTTTGTCCTAGTTTTTTTTGTTTCTTGTTGATGCATTATATACTTGTGGAAGGTTAGATGTGACATCCTTAAAAAACATCTAGATGTGAATTAGACACTGTTTCCGTAATTTGTTTGTACAAGCTGATAGTAGGAATATTAATTTTGTTTCCATAATAAGCATATGTATATATACGTACACCCGGTAAAACAAGAACATGCAGTCACGTACATACTGCATATGGCTCAATCATCCATCCATCCACAGTGAACACCTATCTCTCTCTTTCTGTTAGAACAGAAAATTCCATAGAAAAATATCACTCCTGTGCAGCCTGACGTTTCCACGGCGCTACGACCGGCCTGGCGGGGCGGCGGCTAGGGTGGCGGAGACAGTCGCAGAGCCGCCGGAAGAAGTCGACGACCGGCTGGATCCGCGACAGCAGCACGAAGACCGGCCCGAGCACGCCGCCGGTAACCGTCATGATCGCCATCGGCTCCATCGCCCCCCCGCTTCTGGTGAAAGAAAGCTCGCCGCAAGATGCAGAGATTTGGTCTCTGTTGCTAGCTAGGTGAGATGAGGTGAGGTGAATGGAAGGTGACACATCTTATATGCTGCCTTGCTGCGGTAACCGCGGGCAACCAAAACGCAAGTCTATTTATGGAGGCAGGGAGCAGTTATCAGTGCTTGGCCAAGATCCGACTCAGTGCATGCAAGTTGAAACAGACAGCAGATTCTTTTTCAGGTAAACACCAAATACATAATGGTAATACCAGTTGCAACATCAGAGGGCGATTACATATACATACATATACTATATACTGATGATTGATACGATACATAGAGATGGTGCTACTCATGTCTGGGAGCATGGTAATTTCCCTGCCATGAGAAGCATGGATGGAAACAGTAAAACGCAAATGGTACATCCATTAGCCAGGTTAATCAAACTAATTACTACCATCCTCGACAACACGATACAGACTCACTCGGTTATTAGAATCCGTTGTTTTACTACTACTATTACTACTACTGCTGCTTCCTCTACCGATATGATCCTAGTCGAGCTTTTCAGCCAGCGGTTACAATGCAAGCAAGAACTGCTATAAACCCCAGAATAATTTCCTGGCGTCAAATAAGATAAAATAAGCGATTACCTGCTCCGCGCATCTCGAGGCACTCCGATCATCATGGGTCACATCCATGGCGATCTTGGATATGAGCAGGAAATAATACCATCATGGTCCTTCGATGGTGATCCTGCTGAAGGAGCGGGAAATGCCGTCGCCTCCCTTGAGGCTGTGGAGCTCCGACTGGATCGTCTCCATGATCTTGGCCTCTTCCAGGTCCGGCGTCGGCACCCTCACATGCATCGACCCTTGCTTCGCGGGGCCGACGCTGTCCTGGTTCCTCAGAGCTTGCTGCTTCACATAGTTGTACAGCTCCTGGTGGAATGGATGGTCGTACGAGTAGCAGTCGACTTCATCCGACGACGAGCCTGAACCGGACCCTTCCCTCTTGCAGAAGTGCGGGAGTGACGCGTAGTCCATAACCTGCGCGATTGCCAGCAAATACAGTGGGTTTTAATCAGAAACTCGCCAGTGTATCATGTATCATGGCTGGATGGGGCTCATCAGCAGCTACAAAGTCAGATCAGCTGGACCACCCAAAAATCAGGAAGCCAGTTGTTAGCACTACTTTCCGGTCAGTTTATTCGATTTTGCACCGATAGGAAGTGTGTTCTATTCTATCAGAGAATATAAGATGGGCGTGTGTAATGTTGGGCCCACTACCATAAAGAATATAAGATTAATTAAGAATATATACCTTCAGTAATTCATCTCTTCCAGGGCCATACAAGACTTTGATCTTCTTTTTAGTTCGCTCTTGTAAAAGAGGCTTCACAACCTGGCCATCAGTGAGCAGAAACTCCAATCAGTTTACTGGAAAGATGTAGCTGTGGCAACAGCCAAAAAATAAATCAAGTATACGTGCACTGACCTTCCAACATGCCGAAAAAACATATGGAGCGTTCACGATGTAATACGTCTCGGTTTTCTCAGGATAATTAAGGTCATCAACAGCTGTTATCGTGCTCAACATCTGTATCATGCACAAAATATTGATAAAGCACATTAAAATATTTATTTTCCTCGAAAACTAAATGCACTTGGCAGGCAAAAATTCAATGCGTAAACACAAACAAGCGCAGCCCATGGGTTGCTCGATCAAATACAGCAGTGTAACTGGCAACCAGCAAAGATGCAGATCTCAGTCTGATATCAGGTAATTTCCATCCTAGATTCATGTTATTGAGGTTCTGGCATGCACATATGGCACCTTCAGCACATGAATCTTGATCAGTACTAAGGTTGGACTGGATCTCAAATTCTGTAAAACACATCTCTTAGACAAATAAAATCTGGCATAGCTAGGCCAAATGTTCTGTGTTTTAAAATGCTCTTAACTTATAAGGCTGTGTATCTTTGTGGTCCAAATATATTCATTGACATTACGTAATAAATACTATATGTCGTCGTGTTCGAGAAAGAAAAACGATGTCATTCCATGACACCACATCTGACAAACAGTAATTAGGTAGTCCAACACTATCACTGGCCCCATTAAGCAACATGCACATAACTTTCTGACCAGCTGACACCTCACTCAGAATAGACAACTCCGATGTCAAGGATCGGGACAGGATGACCGAAAGAAACCAAATCATATCAGAAATGATAATAGAAGGAGAAGCAAACGAGGGAACAAAAGTATGAGATATTTTATCAGGCCCACAGATGACTTGATGGAGGGAACAAATGTATATGAGAGATTGTATCAGGTCCAAGACAACTGTGAGCAGTGCTTCAGTCTTCATGACTCCATATCTTTTAGTTAAACAATTGGACCACTAGTTCTAATAACGGAGGAATATATTAATAATGTTACTTCCTGTTATCTCAGTAATTATGCAGTTTGGCAGAACTAGAAAAGTACTGTCAACTGTGCCAAGAATTCGGTCTTCGACTAACAGAAACAAGAGGCCTAATGTATTCCTTCAAAGTTCATACCACTCATTGCGAATTGTCATTACAAATGAACTCGATTCTAAACATGATATTGTATTCTTGATTCTATTTCCCCTTCAACTCCTATTATTTCAGACAGCTTGATGACATGTAGATGAATTCTAGGACTGTTGCCAAATGTTTACGCTCAGATATGTTATAAAAAAAACACAGATGCAAGAAACTTATGGAGACTTCAGTTCAGATCCTTCAGAAGTTATACAAAAATTCTGATCAAAATTTAAGAATGCAAGAAATAGCCTACCTTTATTTGGTTCAAAGCAGAAAGCTTCAGGCCAGTCATATCCATAACTTTCAAGCAGGTGTTAATCTGTTTTCCGGACATCTCAGATGCACCTGGCTAATGAAGAGAAACAAATATACTTAGTACTATATGTTTATGTAAATCTGTTCAATGAATATGAATAATGAATAAAAAAGCACTCACCAGGACAACACGATCTCGATACTCATTCATCTGTATGTGAGACTGCAAATAGTAGTTCACCTGCAGCAAAATGAGATATTTTAGAAGAAAAAAGGTCAAAAAATAGTATTGTGTGTCCCTATTAGTTAATTGGTCTAATTAGTAGCTAACTGACAGTCCTGTGTCTCAAGAAAAAAAATCATTTATCTGATCATTAATCTTGGTAGTACTTGATTACTGCAACTCAGTCTCAGAACTAGTGGTATAATCCCTTGCAATATTTTGGATTTAAACCCAAAGACTGTGAATTCCAAGACAGTTAACACTTAACACCTACCGATGCTCTGTCAAAGGTACTGAGCCCAACACCGAATGCATAGACAGGTTGACCCTGCAAAAGGCAACCATAAGAAATTAGAGCAAGGGCATCACCTAGTACAGACGATGCAAACTTCTTGAAAATGGAAAGAATGGTTTATGAACATCTTCAGACTAGTTGCCCGACTAAAGGAAGGCATATTATTACCAGTATTAATTAAATATAATCAGAGATGTAATGTTTGCTCGTAACCAGCTAGTCAGCAGGAACTGATCAAATGGCACCATCAAAAGCATGGAAATAAAGACAAAACTGGGCCTGATTATTGTACCTGCTTGGAATATCCTGTTAATCCAACAAGTAGTGTATCACGAATAGATCTATACAAATCAGCGGGCAATATTGGTTTCTGCATCGAAATAAAATGGTGGTTGCTGGTCAGAGGAATAACATATGCTAAAACAATAGTAGTACTACAGTGCTGTACAACTATAAAAAAAACAAGACTTTGTTGACGGTAAAAGGCAATTACGGCTAGAACGCTGTCAATCTCATTCTGAAGCCTCCAATTCAAGCAATCCATTAGCTGCACCAAACGATCAAATGCTTTATATTGCAGATAACAAGTTGCTTCATCAACAGTACATCATATAAGCTTCTGTAATAAGATTTTTTTAAGGAATCTGTAATAAGCTTTTATTTACCATTTTATATGCTTTAGGAACGTTCCATTCTCTGGCCTTGAGAAAACGCAGCAGAGTCCCTCGTGGATATCCTTGGTGCACATTCTGTACACATAACAGTAATTAAGCACTATTTGTTACCCACTAGCAAGAAGTTTAATCTCAAACAACAGTGTCAGAAACTAACTGGTCGGCAACGCAACACTATACGGTATAAAAATCATGAAAAAGGCGGTGCTGATATCGTGATTCCACCGCGCAGAAGAGATAAAGAAGATAAGAAACTGTTGTTTCTCAGTGGAGCTATCGAATTGCGATCCATCATCAGTGCTTGCGCGGTGCGCATCCAAACGGTTCCACCCGAGAGGTCCACGACGGCGATGATACTCGTCAGGACAAGGACTCGTCATGGACCGAGTAAAGGTCCAAATCGCAAATTGAGACCCCTCTCTCTCTCCCCTAGAACAGTCAAGACGACATAAAAACAAGGTGTGTCAAGATCAGACGACGGCAACTTCTCCGGCCATAACTCGCGCTCGCCGAGCTCCACACGCTGCCTGGATAGGTGGCCCAAGTTCAGCTTAGTTTAGTCCTCGCGTGTGGAGTGGTAAACGGCGCAGACTGCAGAGTCCAGCTCTCCTACCGGTGTGATCATGGGCTCATGGCGTGCTTGACCTTACAAGGTCTTTGTCACTCTAGAAGCGTGCTTGGAAGCAACACTCCAGCAAGCCGTCAGACACGACTTGAAGTATTGAAGGAGTACGAAGGAAAACAGCGTTGGAGCTACAAATAACGAACATGGGAGGCGCCGCGCCGACAAAACAGTTGTGGCTGATGTACCAAAGCTCCTTTTTTTTCTTTCTTTCTTTCTTTCTTCTTCTTCCCAACCACGGCACGAGTGCCGAAATTGCAATTAGGACCTGACCAAAATACTAGTGCTTTTTTAGATCAAGGAAAGTGCTGGCGCCTCCAACATCTAATGAGGAAAAAAGAATATCTCTATGCGAATAAAAAATAAAATAAGAAGTGATCGCGTATAGCCGAAAGCATAGTTTAGCTACGGATCTCTATCATGGTGACGAACGGCACACAAACGTCAGCTGTATGGGTGGGGGGAAAGGAAAGGGTCATTCCTAAGAACACCCCAAGTGATAATAACAAGAGAATTTCAAGCAAGAGATGCCAGAACCACAATTAAGCTCAAAATCACATAGTATAAGCTGTTAAAGATCCAAAACGTTTCATCGTCTACTAACAAGTAGTAGGACAGCTTTCAAAAAAAAACAAGTAGTAGGACATGATGTTTTTTTGTTTTTTTGTTTTTTTTTTACGAACGGGAGCAAGGAATGAGCTAGGAGAAAGTCACATGGCAAAGAAAATCTCGGATTTGATCAAAATTTGAGCCAAGAACAAGGCAAATCGAAACCTCAGCTGAGCTCGGGCGAAGAAGAGAACCTGCAAGATCCAAACATTATCAAGCTACGAAGTCAGCGAAGTAGGGCGAATCTGCCTAACCACGAACTGAGCAAAATAAAAAGCTTGAGCAAGCAAACCCCCAAAATCCACCAGAAATGGAAAGCAGCACGCGACAACAGAGGCAAAATCTAGACGCAATTCAGCTGCGGCCGACGATGACAACACCAAAACAAGAAATTATGCACAGGAATGCACAGGACAGCAGCGAGAGAACAGAGATCCAGCAAGGGCGGAAGGCGGAGCAGATCGGTACCTGGAATGTGGTCTTGAGCGGCTCCTCAACTGCAGGAAGCAAGGAAGAAAGCAAGGGCGCATCTCAGCGAAACAGGAATGGACGGGGGAGAAGAAAGGTGTGCTTTCATTCCCTTCTCTGAAACGAACAATGGAAAGAAGAGCAAGAGCTGACTCACGCTGCTCCATGAGCACGGAGAACTGCTTGATGGCCTCCTCCGAGGCGGCCGCCATTGCCGGCGACGGTCGTCGCGAGGGGAGGAGAAGGGGGAGACTTGCGGGGCTGGAGCTGGAGGCGAGGTCAAACCTCAAACGGGGAGAAAGCAGAGAGATAGAGAGTCTTGTTTGCCTTTTGAGCTCCCCCTGCCAGCTGCCCTCGCTGGTCCGAGGTGACGCTGCTGCGCTCTGCTCCCGCACGCTGCGTATGTGCGTATGTGTGGGGTGGGAGGGGGAGGGGAGGAGGAAGGCGCTGCTTAAGAAGAAGGAAAGGGACAGCAAAAGCCCGTTTTATTTTCGTCTTCTCGTTTGTTTATTTGGGGTTTAACTTGGTTTAGGTTTGGTTTGGTGCTTTTGTGTAAAAGCTGCTGGTAACCACTGTTACTGCCACGGGGTCTCGTTACTTAGGCTGGCGCTTTTCTGCTAGTACCGATGCAGTGCTGTCTAACCTTGCGAGGCAGAGTATAAACACGTGGAACTCACTGTTCCACTGTTAGGCCGAAAGCTGCACACTCCTTCGTCACAAGATTTTGGGACCAAGGTACTCCCTCCTTTCCTAAATATAAGGCACGTGTTGACTTTTCTGAACTTCGTCACACAATTTTGATTATAATTTTCATTTAGTGTATGCCTATGGAACTAAAATAATTCTATAAAGACAAATACAATGATGCTATTGATGCATGTATATATTAATGATCAAAGTTATGCATCAAAGACCGTACAAAATCAAACGCGCCTTATATTTTGAGAAGGAGGAAGGAATACTTTGCATTATGTTTTGAGATAGATCTGACCATATGGACCGACACAGCCCGACCCACCTACAAAATGGCTTGGCACAACATGGTCTATGTTGGCCCTTTTATAAAAGGGTCGCACGATGCCGGCCCGAATGCCTGGGCTCAGAAGGGATCAGCATGGCACGCGACTTAAAAAGTCAGCCCGACATGACACCGTTGTGGGCTGGCCCGCGTTAGAAGTTGTAAACAATACACGCTAAAAGGACCAAAATTGCTCTAACAAGACCAAAATATTACTAAAAGGGCCTAAATATTTAGATTAAAAAGGTCAAAACAACCCTAAGAAGTCATGACAGTACTAAAATGATAAGGCTTGGCTTTGGGGATCAACATTGATCCATGGCGGCCGAAGGCCGGCCCTTATTCGCATCACGTGCCGGGCCAAAAAACCCTGCCCGCGGGTTGGCCTTACAAGTGCGACCCATATCGCCAGGTTTGTTTCAAGATATATTCACCTTCGTTGCAAAAAATGAAATTTTGGACATACACTTTGTTCATGTATTTGGAATACTAGTAAGGTGGTACTTGCATGGCAAAATTAAAATTCAAAGAAACTCTGTAATAATGATCATAGGAACACTCACTATAGAACTATCGACAAATTGTAGGAAGTTTCATATCCCCCCTTCAAAATATTGAGGACGCTCCAAAACTTTCGGTACTTGGCTGGAAGATATTTTCTACACACCCACCTCCTTCGTACCCCGCTTCCTTTGTCAACGACTCACCATCAAAATGTTTGTCTATCGTCCCTTCCAAATCATCGAGCTCAATTGATGTTGTGAGACACCGCCAAGCTCAACCTCCGCCTACCAACCACGTATGTGACCAGGGACATTGGGTGAGTGATGACCCACAAGTATAGGGAATCAATCATAGTCTTTTCGATAAGTAAGAGTATCGAACCCAACGAGGAGCACAATGAAATGACAAACGGTTTTCAGCAAGATATTTTCTGCAAGCACTGAAATTATGGATAATGGATAGTTTGATAGCAAGGTAATTTGTAACAAGCAACAAATACCAATAGTAACAAAGGTACAGCAAGGTAGCTGTGACGCCCCCGATTCAACCGTACACTAATCATACACGCAAATGTGTACGCTCAAGATCAAGGACTCACGAGAAGATATCACAACATAACTCTAGACACAAATTAAAATAATACAAGCTTTATATTACAAGCCAGGGGCCTTGATGGCTCGAATACATAAGCTCGAATACACAAGAGTCAGCGGAAGCAACAATATCTGAGTACAGACATAAGTTAGACAAGTTTGCCTTAAGAAGGCTAGCACAAAAGCAACAACGATCGAAAAGGCAAGGCCTCCTGCCTGGGAGCCTCCTAACTACTCCTGGTCATCGGCGGTCTCTACGTAGAAAAAGGCACCCTTGGTGTAGTAGTAATCGTCGGTGGTTTCGTCTGGCTCCTGAGCTCCACCATCTGGTTGCGACATCCGGAAATAAAGGAAAAGGAGGAAAAGAGGGAGCAAAGCAACCGTGAGTACTCATCCAAAGTACTCACAAGCAAGGATCTACACTACATATGCATCAGTATCAATGAAATGGGTTGTATATGTGGACCGAACTGCAGAATGCCAGAAGAGAAGGGGAAAGCCTAGCCTATCAAAGACTAGCATCTTCTAGCATCTTGCAGCATCAGAAGAGATAAGAGTAGAATAAAGTAAAGTAGTAGTAGTGTTATCAACCTCGCCCAGAGATCCTTTTTCGAGTCCCTGCGAGAAAGCAATCCCAAAGCCATACTGTCCAGTTATCACCTCAAGTATCCAGTTCTAGTTGTATCGATCGGGATACAACTCCAAGTGTCCGTTACCGTAGGACAGGCTATCGATAGATGTTTTCTTCCCTGCAGGGGTGCACCAACTTACCCACCACGCTCGATTAACTCCGGCCGGACACACTTTCCTGGGTCATGCCCGGCCTCGGCCAAACAATACGCTGCAACCCGACCTAGGCTTAATAGAGAGGTCAGCACGCCGGACTAAACCTATGCCCCCAGGGGTCTTGGGCCATCGCCCCGGGAACTCATGCACGTTGCGAGGGCGGGAGGTGAGCAGACCTAGCTACCTCCTTAAAAAGGCAGGTGCTTACGCAGTCCAACCCGGCGTGCCGCTCAGTCGCTGACGTCTATTAAGCTTCGGCTGATGCATACGATGCAGAACACCCATACAATGCCCACGTGATGGTTAGTGATATCAGGCCAGAGGCCCCTCAAATCAAATATCCAAATCGTAGTGGATTAGGAACGCGCGGTAACAAGCAGAGACTCATGAAAGATGTGACCTCGTCGCCCCGTCTCGAGGACTTTTTTTGACACCTGAAACAGTAGGAGAGGTTCCTACTGTATATATTGGATTGAAGTATATATTTGATTGCGCAAGGGCTAGGAATGCCCGGCCACGCCTCGTAATTATCTCATGGGCACCCTCCAGGTCAACCCGTCTCCACGTCACTCACGGGTACCCCTAAGGGTCGACCCGCCTTTCCAAGTAACAGTTGTAAAGTCCAAGTATCCGTGTGTCCAAACATCAAGGGGAAAACCCGAGGAATCACCCCCGGTGAATTCCACTCGATGTAATCATCAAGGTGAACGTAGGAGGATCCACCCTCGAGGTTAACACTTGAGGGGTTGCACGACAAAGCCGTATCGGAAGTGGTTAAGGATGAAATCACCCTCGATGACCACGACCGGATAGCTACACTACAGAGATCTTATCAGGAGTGATGTATGAGGTTCCACCCTCGGCATTCGATGGTAACTCTGCAAAGTCGAGCAACAAAAGGGGCGTGTTGTGATGTGAGGTGTCGGGCTCTGGTCGTCAATCACACTGATCGAGTCGTCGGTGATGAAGCAGGGGCAATAAGGAACCAGGTGGGGGTCACTGATGGATCACTAACCAACCTATACTAAGTAGTTTAGGATAAGCAGGTAGGTAACAATAAGCAGGTTATAAAAGCAGGCTATGCATCAGAATAGGAGCAATCAATTACAGTAGCAAAATCTAATGCAAGCATGAGAGAATGGAATGGGCGATATCGAGATGATCAAAAGGGAGGGGCTTTCCTGGAAGCTCTGCTGAAAAGGAAGAAGTGTCATCAGTGACCAGGTCAAACCTAACCAGTGGGTCCCACATGTCATACACAGAGGGCTAACAGTGGATTATTTTAATTAAACATGGTTAATTAGCAGCTGGGCCCCACATGTCAGTGACTAATTAGCTTAACTAATTATTTTAATTTTAAAAAATGTTTATTTAACAAAATATGCAGTGGGGCCCGCGTGTCAGTGACACTGTGTGCCCAGTCAGCACAGTTGACCACGATCAACATGGTCAACTGGGGCCAGGGGGCCCATGGGCAGTGACCCAGAGGCGGGCCCTAGGTGTGCCACGTCGGTGGCGTCGAGGTTTCGCCGCCGGCGACCAAAACAG